TAACTCATCCTGGGCGCCCGCACGATGCTTGCTGATGATGATGTGCCTCCTGCAATCTGAATACAAGCGGAACAGTTCGTACCTCTGCCCCTCCTTTTGAGTGTTCCCTGCCACAAACCCTGCACCACCTGCGGCCGATAGCTTCGTGGCCGCTCTCATTGCCATTGCTCTAATCATGTCCCAGACAGTTTTCTTCACCGCCTCAACTAGCTTTACCCGTTGTTGCTCCGAGAGTCTACCTTCGTAAAGGCTGTCAATTACCAACTGAAGAAAATTTAGCTCCGTCAGGTTGGGGTAAGAGCGCAAGCCAGTTCAAAGACGTAAGAATGTGGCCATTTGGCTTTTTCTTTCTTCGTTGAAGTCTCGGGAAACAGCTCGGGATCGTAGCGGACAAAGAATCGCTTCTTGGAAGCCTTCTCCATCAGCCTCCTGGTCTTCCGCACAGTCTCCTCCAGCATATGGTGTTCTACAAATAATGCGTCCTCCTTGCTCTCACCATTTTTGTCTCATGAAGGTCGGATGACTTGCAAAAGAGCTGCGGCTGACATAGTGTTCAGCTGGGGATCAGCAAGACCAACTAGAGCGAGGGCACCACTGGGCTTGCTGCACCCTTGAGTTTCTTGCATCAGCGCTCCCACCGGGACAATGAGGGAATAGAGTTGCCTTAACTCCTCCTTCAAGGACAACATCGGGTTGGAGAGCTTTGACCTTTCATTGTAGTACTTGTCTATCGGATCCCAAAGCTCTAAGAAGCGCTCATTAACTTTGGTGAGGCTTAAGAAACGATGAGGGGCATGACTGATGACAGCTAAAGATGTGTTCATCAACTCGTTCTGGAGATCATACGCTGTTTCCCCTGTGGCGACTTGTTCAAGTGCTCGATGACACTACGCATCGTCTGTAGAGTCTCTCGGCACTCTATATTCCCAATCTTGCTTGGATCCAAATTTGCCCCGTATGATTCTTGCAGAGCGCAGTTTGACAGATGAGGCACACACCACTCCCAAAAAGCTGCCGTTAAGAGCTTTGATAGCAAGCGCCTTATATCTCCTCCTCCGTCAGATGTAGACCCAGCAATATCCGAGGGCAAAAGGCCGAACTCTGCGAGAACATCTATGACCCATGAATAAAGGACCTCTGATAACCCGGAAGCTCTCGTATTCCACTTAGCCTGGACAGAAGTGCTTTATAACGAGAATGGAGTTCTCATACGCCATTGAGCATCCACGAAGATTATTCGATTCCCGACATATTTGTCTTGATAGGTCTTCGAGGTCCAGAAATCCACGTTCAGATGAAATATTGGCAAAGGGCAGCTAGCTTTGATCATCCTTAGATCGGTCCTGAAGCCCTTTTTCGTAGCGTGATATACTTCAAGAATCAAATGGTGAAGTCTTTTGCGCGTGGGTAGATGTTTGCCAATAAGTGACCCACTGCATTCAGCAAAATGCTGAACCTTATCATCCTCGCAGAAGCCCAAAGGTAGCAGCTTCGTTAGAACCAGACGAGTCCATAGCATTTCGTGGAAGCGTTCCGGGTCTTATTTAAAAAGAGCGAAAGCCTTCGCAGCATTGACCGCCTCTACCTTACGTCGCTTGTTTTGCTCCGTCGTTACGTCTTAATTGAATAATGTTCATGTGCCGCTTTTAAGTGCTTCATAGCATTTGTTGATGAACTAACATTGACCGAAAGGCATTGCTTTGCCCGTCGGCATTGCTCACTTGCCAGGCAATACTACTTGCCAACGTTCGCATCATATTTTTTTCAATTCTCACTCCAAGTTCCCAAGCTAAGATCCTATCAGGAGTCCTCTTCGATACGGTTGCCATTCTATAATCCTTCTCTAGATCTTGCGGGATCTCAAATCGTTTGATCGCTTGATCTATCACAGCGCTAGCGTTCTTTTTAGCACCAGCGACCGAGCCCTCGTCGACTGTCGTCCCCTCCACGTCTCCAGCAAATTCTCTTTTGCTGCCGGTCTGCTGCTGGTGACTTTTCCGCTTACTTTGATATGATGTGGTGTTAGCTTCTGCGTTTTGCTTCCTTCATGTCCCTTTAAGAGTGGCGGTCTTCGTCGTTGTTATCCCCAGTATCAACATCGTCTGAAACAAACAGAGGATCGACATCATTATCATGTTCAACCACCACTATGGTAGATCCTTCTACGATGTTGCCGGAGGAGGATGCAGAGTACGTCTCTGTTCCTCTGCCGAAGGCTCTTTGCTGCTGCGGAAGGATCAGATGATGTGAGAAGGTCGGCAAAGATATCATCCCCCAAAATGAGAAAAGCGGCCTGTCATGCCGCCGCAGCTTCCTCATCCTCTTCTGTAGTATCCTCATCAAAGACTGGTGCTGAAGCTGCTTCAGATAACGACTCCATCTCTTGTTGCCACCACAACGCTCGCTCTCGCTGCTGTAGCTAGTTACCTCGTGGTGGTGGTGGCGGTGGTGATGGACTGAGCTATGTAATGAGAATAGTGATGAGCAGTCGATCGGTAACAAGACGGAGCGAGCCGAAGGAGTAGAAAAAAGAAGAATAGCAATTACTGAGGAGGATCGATGATGAAGAAGAGGACAAGAAGAATCAGGAAGAAAAAGAACTGTCAAATTGGCTGGTGGAACTTGAATTCAGTGGTCAAAGATACTCATCATTACTGTTCCCGTGAGTAAATTTACTCTTGACATAAGTAAACTCATAGTGTTACTCATCCGGTCTGTGAAGTATTGCTAGAATTGGATATATAAACGTAAAAATTGCTTTTTGTCACCTTGAATATACCTAAGCGCATCGCATGCATTGCCCTCGCCTAAGCCGGCCCACTCTAGAAAAGAGAGCTTGACCAACATGGTATCCTTACACTACGCAAGGACGGCATGCGGATTGTGCAAGAATGGCGCAGTCAATTTACACAATCAGTTGCGGCACTATTATGGAAGGTACAAAGCCTTAGACGGCCATGTAGATAACACTGTCCGCACATTTAGAGTTAACCACGTTAGCAGAAACGTCCAAATTGAAGCTTCTTCAGGATGGTGTCTTCATTTTCGCTTACATTGGCGCTCATGCTCTTACTGCTTTGAGTAATACGCTGTCTACGCCTGCTGTGCCTTACCGGAGAATCAATCGGATTTATTCAGCTGGACGCCGTATGATAGTGAGTCGCGGATGACAGGAAGGTGTAATGTTGAAATCCGAAGATCTCGCATCTGTTGTGCTACCCATAATTGTGTTGTGGGAAGGCAATTTAGTGTGTTTCTCACTGTCAAATGTGTTTACCGATATTTATACGCGGACTTATTGTCAATGCTTATATGTGAGGGGCTTTGCCGCATGTAATAGCACTTGTGCTAAATCCACGATCAAGTCGTGAAGAGAACGAGAATAAAATGCACTTTTCTTGAGACAGCATGACAAGCGAGAATGTTACGGGTATCGTGAGGGATAAAGGAGCTGTCGGCTCAAGAATCAGAGGCGAAAATTGCTCATCTGACATATAAAGTACAATTACGTGTCATATTTCTTCATCATATCACCATACTACTTTGGTAAATTCTAGCTTGGCTCGACGTCCTAGGGGTGATAGTGAAAGGTGTACGTAGGCACGTACCCGTTACTGTGACACCGTATGTTTCACCAATTGTTTCACAGGACCTGAATTTACACAATTACGCAATATTGCTCTTAATATTGTAATTTGCACACCTGGATCAGTGAGTGTTTACACCTTCCCCATTTACAGGTTGTACTGTATTATATTATTTCAGCAGCTAGGGCACACAACATGTGTACCCACCCAAAAGACCAGCGAGTAAAAAATAAGCTTCCTCTGCTCATGTGCACGATGCTCAATATTGCCTTCCAGTATATTGTTTTTGCACTCTGGATGAGCGGTGGGCAGTCTGTTAAAATGCCAAAATGCTTGGAGTGTTTAGTGTGTGATCTTAATGAAAGTTTAATGGATCCACACTCTGTAAATCCTTTTGCAGGGTCCACACTCTATAATACTCACAGCAGACTCCACATCTCAGGACTTTCAGCAGAATTTTTCACTTGCATGTAAAAGGCCTTTGAAGATATTCAAGAATTTTTATGAAAAGTCAGTTGAATCCACTCGTGAGGATCTTAAACCTTTCAGACATCTTTTATGAGCTGAAACGTTGGTATCCACGAGCAACTTCAGAAAGCATAATATAAATAGTATGCGTGTATATCGGCTCAAAGGAATTTGACGTAATAAGCCCCAAAGATAAAAGCTCACCTCAAAGTGTTAAGACTTTGCGACCCACTAAATAAGCAATCTTTTGTAAGACTAGGAATTAATTGAACTGGGGCATGCTAACTGTGCGTGCCCACGTCAAAAGAAAAGCTGTAAAGTCTTATGAGGGGCTGGGTAGAGACAACATATCATTCTTTTCTAGTAATCTAATTTAATCATTCACTTTTAATTTGGCGAAAACGATCGCTCGAAATAACTGCCCCGGCTTCCCCTGTGGCAAGTGCTGTCGCGCGTAGGTTATTGTACCAATAGAGATCACGCAACCAGTGATCCGAGGCACGCCACTGAATAGAAAAGAGGTGCTGCATACAGACGAACTCATTCGCAAACGGCTCCGATATGACAGTATCCATATTGACCCAAAACAATATACTGAGGTCCAACCGCTGCGTCGTTATTTGTGTATGTGCGTAGCGCAATAAATGCAACCATCATCTTTCCCGTTAGGGCTAAACTCTTCATGAATTTTGAGTTTGGCGCAAAATGCGTGGTTTGAAAATAACACTGATTGACAAAATTTTTATAGAGTATCATTTCGTTGACGATATTTACGGCCACGTTAAATTCTATATCATCAAAACTTATCAATCTAGTGATATTTTACGTAAACACAATCAAAGAATCGCAATGGTACAACGAAAAATAAGGCTTCACTTCATACTTTGAGTTCGACTGATTAGATAAGCCGAAGGTAACGATGCCAGGCACGGAAGCTGTACCTACTATAGTGCCAGCACCACTGCAAAAGCGTGCACCGCCACCGCCACCACCGACGTCCACGTCCGCATCAGAGCCAACATCGGTCCCAGAACCAATCTCAGAGCCGGAGCTAAAGCAGCATCGGGACGTTGAATCCACTCACGCCGAGCCAGTTCACGCAGCGACCGGTCGACCGCCCAAAAAGCGTAAGCACCGTGGTCTGATGCGAGCCATTGGTGGATTTTTTAGGCGAAATTGCAGCGACGCAGATAGTGACACAAGGCCTCACGACAGTGAATCCTCACAGCGTCGCACTTCCCGTTGGTCGCATTCACATCGTCAGTCAATGCCTGAAGCTCCCTCCACAGTGGTGGTTCAAGAAATTCTTGAGACAACGCGCAGCCAGAACGCAGCCGAGAACGAGCCGTTAACGAAGTCGCCTCATACGGAGGAGCCTCCGGTAAAGAAGGTGAAGAAGGACAAGCCCAAGAAAGCAAAGAATACTCCCTCACCAACCGAGCAGTCGCCAACCGAGACATCAGAAATGCTGAGTGCTACCTTAGTTGACGAACTGGGCGTGGAATTGCAGCGTGTCTCATTCCTTTTCTTTGGAGGAAGTGACGTCGACTGTACGTTTCAGCCAGAGTTAAGACCATCGGAGCTGGACGATCTGCATGAGAACGATATTCGCCCATCATTACAAGCCAAAATGCCGCTCTTCCTTCCGCCGCCTTTGCCGAAGAATGTACGTCGCAGCAGTATCTTGCCTGATCCAGAGGAATACGAATTTTAATATTAGAGAAAGAGAGGGGAGCTGTAGCAGAGATGATGATTTTTTATGTAAGTAGTAGCTGTAACGTGAGATAGGGAGATAAGTAGGAAAGTATCTAAACTTAAGAATTCATAGGAAACCGTGGATTTGTCATATCTCATCCTTCGTAATAGTACCTACAAATGACGATTGAAAGTTCTTCTCATATTACCATCGAAAGCTAAAGTTTGTAACAGTTTTGGATGCACACATAATTTCTGCGTTTCTTGGCTTAACTCTTGGTTATACATGTGCCAATTACATCGCAAATTATTTGCATACTTTAACGCAAGCATTCCTCTATACAGTAATGCTTCAAACCGTCGAACTGACATTTACAGTATAACAAACTTTTTAGCCAGGGAACATTGTCTTTCTATTAATAGAGGAGATTTTCCATATATTTCCAGAAAAGAAGCACCGTGTACCTTGAGATTCGTTTTGACTTTCATAAAGACGCGACATACGTAACGAATAACTGGCGTTTTCGTCACATATGTCGCTATCGTCTGTGTACTCTTCTGTACTCTTCTGTTCTATTATCGACTAAGAATTTTAAGAAGAGTACTCTTCTGTTCTATTATCGACTAAGAATTTTCTTTTTTGCTGAGACTCAAACACCATTGAAGAGCGAGATATTCCCAGCATAGACGAGGCCAACGGAAGCTCTTAAAGAAGATGTCCCGATTTATTCGTATCTTATGGGATCTTGTATGCCAGCCATTCGAATACTGTAGGAATTGCTGTGACGTATTGGACCCTGCCTATTATCGCAAAATGTCACCTGGAGGACGAAGAAATCCGCAAATGTTCAACTGCTGGGATAATGACAAGAACACTCTCACTCCTTCTTATCCCACGTCATCATTTCCAACACTTTCAAGTAGTAACTTAGAGTATTCATGTCGAGCAAACGACAACAAATTTATTACACTGTCCACATCAAGATCGAGATCTGTTTCCAGCACGCCTTCAGAGAGCGCACATGAGGAAGAAGGCGAGAACCAGTTGCACTTCTTGTTTTATGGTGGCAGTGACTCTTTATCGCCAAAGGCAGTCGGGAAAAGGTATCGCAGGGATATCATTTCCGATTGCCAGGAGCCCACAAGTCCAGTGGTGTCAATCGAATCGCCTCGAATCGATCATAAGATGCCGTGCTTTTTCTCGTCTACGATAGCTCCGTTGCAATTCCCAATGTCTGACTCAATTTACTCGGCAAACCTCTTGGGAGATATCGATCAGCAAGGCCAACGAAGCGGTACTGGACACTGCAACATGCGACTCGTCATGTAACGTGTTGATCATTGACGTCTAGGATGATTCAAAGTAACTGTACATTAAAGTCTAAGATTGTGTTAAGGTTGAAAAGCATCATATAAATGGGAAAGGATTGCAATAAATAGTGCTGATGTTGCTACTTCGGTAGCATTACGGTAGAACAGTGGAATAAAAGCAATTTCACCGTGGTGACAGATATGAAGTGATTACAGATGTTGCTTGTTGCAAGGCCAAGCTGTTGATGCGCAGTTTAGTATCATACAAGCAGGTGGTTTTACTTCAGGATGCAGGTGTATCAGAACGGTAGAAAAGTAATCTGTTATGAGGAATTAAGAATTTAAGCTGCGCTGCTGAATCGCTAATATTGACACAATACAGGAACGGGAGACAACAACATTACGCTATGCCGGTCCGTTTGGTACTTCTTCTTCTTGCATCATGATCCAAACACAAGTCAACACTTCTCGCGACTTCTACCCCTCGAATTCATGCTCGTTCGGTCGCTGTCTTGTCAATCTGTGCCCTTATGACCCCTTTCCTGTCGAGTCTTATCCTTTTAACCGGTGTTCGTTCGACTTTGCTCGCCCGATCCTTGTTCATCTGTTCGCGCTTTTCGCCCACGCGCTGTTGACCTTTCTAGTACGAATCATCCCCGTTCAGAGATTATCTTCGTTGTGTGCTTGCAACCTGCTTATGTCACGCAGTTTATCCACCCATAAGAAGTGCCGGTAGCGCTATGGAAAGCAAGTCAAACAATATGCTTTCCAACTCACTTTTTTCTGTCGATGTACTCTTTTCTTTCATAGTCGCATATGAACTTGATTCTTATGTCAGTATTCTTCTCGCTAGCGATATATTGTGGCTGCTTGACAGATAGTATCACACAAAAGGTTGATTATGAGACTAGTCCACGAAGCTCGCATACAATTTTTGAGGCTGAAGTACAGGTAGCTTTCATAGTAGCCAATCTCCGTCGTTACCATCCATCAACAGATTTTTTTCATGACTAATATGTAATCTTGCCGCCAAGCTTGTGTTGCTTCGACTCCACAATTCCATTAAGCTTGAACTGGATTGACTTCACGCATTTTTGAGTTTCCTTTAAGCACCTCAAAGCTTTCTTCGCGAGTTTGAATCGTTCATCGTTGGATGATGAGTCTTTTTCCTTGCATTGTGCCTTGCAAAGCTAACATCCAATAGCGTGCATTTAACAATCCAGAGTGAACAACCAACCAAAGACTGAAGCCAAAGGGTTTACTCGTCACTATGTCTTATCATCGCTCTTGTTTCCAGCAAGGAGCCTCTCCACGATCGATTTACCAGTCTATGCTATCCGAAAAGCTCTTCATAGTCACTTCTTTATCTAACGCGCTCTCGATTCTTCTGTCAGCTCGATATGCACACCAGGGAGCTTCTCTACCTCTCCCAAGGTCTACTTCGACATTACCTTTTAATATGGGTGAAGAAAGCGTCAACATAATCTAGCATCGACGACACAACAAGCAGGTTATCATCATATACGTTCGCGATAACAATGTCTTTCCCTTGACGGTTGTCGTACAACTACATGTCTGTAGTGCACCGTAAGCCCAAATTTTTTCGATTCAGAATGCAGTTTTTTTTTACAATCTACCTAATTAGTGTTTTTCATACAGTTGCTTCATAGCCTTTAAACCAGTTCATTCCTTCCTGCTGTGAAGTTTCAGCCATGAATCGCGGAATATATGGAAGTAGAATCTCCTTCGACTATGCGTTTGAAATTCACCGTGCCTAGCCGGTACAACCTGTTGTCCGAGATTATATAAGCAATACTCAACAGCAAGAATTATATTGAGATAAACACCCAAACCCTCTTCAAGGGTTCACATACCTGCTCTCCCTAACAATCATATAAACGTCGTGACTATGCCCTTAGACACTTTTACGTGTGTAAAAGTAAAATTCATTTATCAAGCCAATTGTATACATCCATTTATGAGCAGCTTTTGTTTTACTACGTTGCCGTACCAGAAATGCAAACCTAACATATTATCTGTAATAGACATCTACATTATCTGCTGGCCCCACTGTGATTGATTTTTGTAAAATGCTTGATTAGATTTCGAATATTATAGTCTAGGTTACTACTGGCTCTGCCTCCCCATGGTGTGCAACCGATTAATGTTTTATGTGATGTCATGCGATGGCACGATAAATGAGAGTGATATGCTAGATTACGGCGTTGAACATTAGCTACTTGATTGTTGCTTTCAGTGACAGTTCACCTTCAAGCTGAAGAAGATATGAATTTAAGTTACGGAACAAGTAGATATAAGATCATTATATAATTAGCAACGTATCACAAACTGGTTCAGTAATCCACGCCAAAGGTAATTGTTGAATGCTAATCCCATGTGGTTTTGTAGAAATGCCAGCTCACCATATGCCATTGACGTCAGGATGAGTTCATTTATGGCGAGTGTCAAACCTAGAGGAGGATACCAGAACTCAGTATATCACTGACCCATAATCATTTCGAACATCGTTGCATCGACAACTGTAACACATTTTGCATCCTGTGTGAATATACTGCATGATTACAGCGGTGAGTGCATGTACTGAGTATGGTTTGCGATTGAGCTTACCAAATAATGCTGAAATATATTCTTGGATACTGGCTTCCATAAACGAAAGTAGTTTTCTGAGCTTGATTCATTCGTTGTGCCGATACCCCATTTTCATTAGAGTCAAATTATAGCACCCTAAGTGAGGCGAGGCTGTGGACCTCTCCATGAGCCCCCACATTTGACGATGAAAGCGTTTGCTTTGCAGCAAATTGTCTGTTCTGTTCAGGATTGCAGAGATTGCTGAAGTCCAGTACCCTATTCAGAAGATACTAATAGCCACTTAGGTATCAACCTGAAAAGCACCGCTTGTCCATCAAAAAAAAATTGAGAGCTTGTATCATACATAGAGAACTACCACAATTCTTTCTTTTGTAGACCAAAACCATATGTACTTCGTTTATATTGTCTGAAATCAGATTAGCTAAAGAAGCAGACTTAGTAATCCGGTTAAGACATTCGGAGTGCAAATCGCAGGATATGTATCTCATGGCATTTGTCCGACCTTCGTTAAACTAACATACGGTGACTCTTGAATGAGTTCTATCAACAAGTTCAGCATGGCGGCTTTCCAAGGAGCTAATACACCGTCATTATCCAATCCCACATACGTGACTCAAATCGACGTTGAAAATCAAAAGTTGAGTACCTTCTACCATGCGTGCCTTCATGCGAGCTATCGGCCTCGGTGGTCTATTCCGTTTTTTAACTACTTCGAAGGAGAGAAATTCCAAGTCGAACATTTCGACGGTTTTCGAAGTTTGTCAAAGCAATGATATGAGCTCCTCCACTGAGCGCCAGCAATTTGTATTCTTTTGTGGTAGCGACGCCTCGGCAGTTCCCTCGGGTGATTACGCTTCGTTCCACAATAGCATACTGGAAGCTACAGCCCAACCAGTGATCGACCACCGCATGCCCGTTTTTATTATGCCGCCGTTGTCTCCATTTCGGCCTTCCGTCGGGGTGAGAGTCACTGGCTACTAGACGGTTCCATAATCGATCGATTCCTCTTCTCTCAGCGTCAGGAGCCGGTTGTCATGGATGTAGCATTATATAGCCGCTTGTCATGCCGTTGAATTGTACTACGAATGATACAATAGCGAATTCACATAGCAGCCGATCCTTGAATTCAAAAAGGTGGTTGTCTACTTTATACGACCACACTCTTGATTTCAGTGATCGTCCCCTAGTCACGTCGACTGCCAGCGCGAATGCAGCAACGGCAGGAATTCATTCATCACATGCTTTTGGGTCAGTGATCGAAGCAGACCCACGCAATATTTAAGATTTCCAAGTGAAGGAGGTGTCAGATTTTTGTTTTAATCTCTAGTTGAAAAATAATCTCAATGAGTCTTCGCATTTGATATACATGAAATGCTTTTGGTTACAAATGTGTCTATATCAATTCCCAATTAATTTTATACATGAAAGTACAAAGGCATACTCAAACGTGCTATATGAATTGCGTATTCAAGTGGATATACCTCCCCGAAAACAACAAGCCTTGCGAGCCTGAGGCATGTTGTTCTGTCTTGATCCAGCTTTGCCGCGAGTAACAACGATGATTTGGTTACCAGGGCGATACTTCTAGCTAGTATAACCCAAGAAATTTTTGTATTGCAAAGCGAAAGTGTCAGCAAGACCATCAAAATTGTAGATGATTTGATGCATAGATCGTTGTAGTATGAGGTCTTACAAAATCTTGGAGCAGAAATCTGTTCTATCCATCCTTTAACCTACTGACTTGGCTGGGGAACCTCCGCACCCCCTTCTTTAAGCTTTGCCGTATCTTTGATGACGGCTTTTGTACAATTAGCAAAGTGATTAGCCAAAAACATCACGATATTTTGATTTACTATTATTGCTGACAAGTAAACCATTTATTTGTCAACCTTTCCTCCATTACAGATTGAACATATTAGTTATAGGTATAGCTCTCGGATTATTCTCTCGTCTTCTATCACTTAGATTGCCACTAATCACCTCGTCGCCGTGCATCTCACACAGAGGAAGCATTGACCTTAAAGAAAGTGCGTTACGATTGCCTATATGATTCGAACATGCTCTCCACGATGAGCGGAACCAAGAGCCTCACAAGAAATAGTTTTTTATCTCATTTCTAGAGTGGTTTGAATTTGAATTTAAGTAAAGGATAGCTTAAATTTAAATTCAAACCACTCTTGAAATGAGATAAAAAACTATTGAACGTATGGTAATTGATACCATACGTTATGACCCGGTGGCATGGGTCGAATTATCAATGCTTTTGGACCTTACGCTGTGTGGCGCGGGTTCGAGCCCCTCAGCGGACAAAA